GGGCCAAACTGAAAGTCAGCCTTCAGTGCCTTTACTTTCAAAAGTCTGCCAACAGAAATCAATTCCACATCTATTCAATTTCACAGGCTACTGGAGTAAAACATGAAAAACTACAAACATATTGCTTTGATACATTAGTAAATAAGAGAAAGTGTCCTTTAATATATTGATAGTTAGGTGAAAAAGAAAAAAATAAATTCAAATTTTCCTACACCAAAAAATCATCTCTACAGTAGCACATGCTTGCAATTTTAAAAACTAATTTAAAACAAAACAAGCTAAAATAACAACATACAAACCATTTACCTTACGGTGTTACCTCATGCTAGCATCCTTCAATATAGAAGACCTGGTTCATACCAAAAGCCAAATACTTTTACAAATGTAGTAGCAAACGTCAGTAGCTCTTCTGTATCCAGACCATCCTAGTTACATACCACCCTATGCCATTATCAACTCTTCGGGAAAACAAAACAAAAACAACACACAAAAAACACTGGCTCCTCTGAAAGACGTTTGGAAGAACTTTACCAATGTCCTCTATCAAGATATATACCACAAGTTTGTGATCCCCTACCAACCTGAACTAGGCAGCTCAAAGTTTGGAGGCTAAAGTCCAAACAAACTTTCACTCAGGCTGACAAGTTAACCAATATCGTCACTGCAAACAGGGCAAGTTGACTGCTTCTTGTTTTCTACCTTCAAGGAAGTCCTGGTGCCCACTACATTCAAATTACACTCCCCTTTTCCTCTCATAAAGCATCAGAGAATCAAACATACTGTATCCAAAGCAAAGCAAAGCACAGAGACACAACCCTGAAATTCTAGTGACATCTCTGAAGCAGTACAGTACAAATAAGGCACAGTAACTCCGTGCCAAGCTAATCTGGATGCCACCCATGCAAGCTAAATACAGACAAGGCCACAGAGACAGTCAGGAAAAGGAAATTAACTACTATACACTATCTGATCTGCTTTGTTTTGTCCCTTAAAACCACTTGGGAGTACAGTAGACTCGAATATAAGGCATTCTGCTCAAGTGTGTATTTAGCACTATTCTTACAGAACCAGTGCAGCATTCTGTAAGGAATCTGGAACAATGATTTTTGTCATGTCTTCTTAAAGATATTGAAGTTCTGAATGCATGTCAATTAGTTATTCACTTTCTTTTCACAAAACATGCACTACCATTCACTGCAACAGCTATGTCCAATATCTATCTACGTACTTACCTACCTATCCATTAAAGTTATAAAATACTGATTTGTTAAGAGGCACCACAGATACCCTCCAACATTCTCCTATGCACAATTATATTAAGACAAAACTGGGTTGTTCTACGTACCTGTTTAGGACATACCCAGACAAACCTTCACATTCAGTGTCTTTCCATCTGCACATCTCTCATGCCCTATGGACAGGCAATACACATCTTGAACTGGACTTGCTTCTACACTTCAAAGCAAGTAAGTCAAGCAATCATTTTTGTGGTAAGATCAGTAAATGTTCAGCATTTTGGCCAGCTTTATTTTTTTACTACTACTTAAAACCTATTTCTACCAAGAGTTTTAAGAATACCAAAAGTATTAACTGAAGTAGAGAGAAGCCAGATTACTGGGATAAAACTAGTAACTGCAGATTCCATGTAACAGTTTGATGACAAAACCTGGTAAAAGCTGTTTCCGAACATTTCATTGATTACTTTTTGCTTTTGTTACCATGCTTTGTGCTCCTCCTGCAGGCCTTCTGTTGCACAGAAAATCCATCCACCTGAAAACTCTTATTTCATGCATTTCTAGAATAGCAGCTAGCTCCAGCTGACATCTCTGCAACTCACCAGCTTTATAAAATAATCCCTTAACTCCCAACCAAAGAAGTCCTGCCAGTACTTCTATCTCAGATACTCTTCATTTTAGCCATCATAATGCACTTTTAGATCACTAATTCTTTGAGACATCCTCCTCCTCTATTATGGAGCAAGGAAAACACATTGTTTTTCAATCAGTTGTTCCCTATGGAAAACAAGAGGTGCAAAAGGAACTAAGAGGGTACACTTGATAGCAAAGCAATGACACCTAATCCTATACCTTCCTCCCCAACGTACCAAGTTAAAAAACATTCTCCTTAGCAACTAAAAAGATGAACCACATTTAAGCTTACATTTTCTTTTCATGATCACAGAGTTAAACCCATTGTTTTTGGGAGCAGCTGAAATGCAATTACATGATAAAGGCATTTTGGCAACTATGCAGTACCGAGGCACTGTGCTAACAGCTTGGTTACCGCTACCACATTGCAAAATCCCCAGGCAAATTAGTTTTTTGGTCATGTTTGGAAGCACTGAACCACAATTAGCTTGTTAAATAATACAGTTATTTAGCAGACACATCTGAATGTTAAATTCCATTTTGCACAGCATGTCATTTTTCAATCTAATTGGCTGCGAGGTTACTTTCCCTCTTATGTGCCTTGCACACAGATGGAGAACAGGTTCTTCTTTCCCTGTGTCACTCATCTCTTATTTCACAGCACTGAGACATGAACTGACAAAACCACTGCATATATCAACAGTCATCATCTGACTTCAACATTTGGAAGACACTGTGCTGGAGCAGTATGACCTTCTGAATCATCAGCACGCAAGCAACACAGACATCTCAAGAAAGGATCCAATAGCAAGTTAGAAGATTCTAGTTCAAAGGTGGGCTAAGCAGCAAATAAGACATTAAAAGTGATGAACCACATTAGTGTATTTTCACAGAATCACAGAATCCTAGGGGTTGGAAGGAACCTCGAAAGATCATCTAGTCCAACCCCCCTGCCAGAGCAGGGTCACCTAAAGCACATCACACAGGAACTTGTCCAGGTGGGTTTTGAATGTCTCCAGCAAAGGAGACTCCACAACTTTTC